ACACACACACACACACACACACACACACACACACACACACACACACAAAACATCTAACAAACATCTAACAAACAAGAGCATTGACTTGCCATCGGTGTGGTCTCAGAAGCATTCACTTTTTCTTTGAAGTCGGAAAAAAACACCCACACAAGAAGTCAGTTGTAAGGTGAAACAAAGATGCCAAACTGATTTAAATGAAGGCTGCAGCAGAGACAACAAAACCAACAGACCTACATGAAGGTTTACGGCTTTCTGACCCCTCCCTGGTAAACAAGAAGGACCCGCTTGTGGTTGGGGATGATACAACAAGACAAACGTGTGCAAATGCACTCTTGGCTGGGGGAGAAACCGAGGCAAACAGAAAGGCCAACAAAGCCCGTGCCACATTTCCGAGCATGATCATTCTCAATAATAGCCTCCCTTGTACTTTGGGCTGTGAGGAGGGTGGTCATGGGGCTCCCCAATGTGATGGCAATGCGCTAATCTGCCCTGTATGGCCCATTCACATGTGTTCACACCATTGTTTCCACACTCTAAACAGGAACTGCAATGTTACCCAAGGGAATTCTACATTTGGTGTGCAGAAAACCCTTTAATTTCCACTCTCATTTTAGAGTCAGCGTGTCCTCACAAGTCTCATCACCTATCGTGCTTGTTGTCTATACTACTGGGAAGTATAGAATAAAAAATGATATGTTGGCTGTAATTACATGCAGCTTTTAATGCAGAATACTGCAGAGACAGGATGCACACTGCAGAATATGTGCGAGTCTGGGAAAAACCGAGGGTTTCCTCACCAGGAGCGTTTCCCCCCCAAAACCGATTGGTGCTGTAATTTATTATCCGGTAAACACGTGGGAATAGTATCTCAGCGCCACAAGATAAACAACTTCACGCACATCTCGCGAGAGGAGACGCTCCCTCTGTGCTTGCCTATTGTGAGAGTTTTCCAACTCTCGCGAGATCTTCGAAGTTTCCCACGCCTGTTGTTGTGGCGTCTGCTCACTCTCTCTCTCTCGCTCTCTCTCTCTCTCTCTCTCTCTCTCTCTCTGCCTCTGCCTCTCTCTCTCTCTCCCCCGCCGCCTCCCCCTTTTTTTTCTCTCTCTCTCTTCCTCACCCACCCCCTTTCTCTCCGTCTCCCTAGTCTCTACACCTCCAGTCTGCTTCTGTTGTCTCGGCGGATTGTTGGGCGGTGGGAGAGAGAAAGGATATCGCGAGTATTGGAGTTTTGGTGAGAGTTTGTGGAAGATGGCGCCTGTTGTGACAGGGTGAGTCTGAGATTCGGGTCTGTGGGTTTGTGGGAGCGGAGTTGGAAGAGAGAATACAAGTTATTATAATACATATAGTAATTGTAATCCCTGTGCTGTAGCCTGGTTGCACTGCGGTGTTTTGACCACTGACGTTTCTTTGTCTCAACGTGTGTTTCCGTGAGAGTGTTTTTTGTTATCGTTACTTGCCTGAGCTGACTGTTGCTGCAGTGTTTTGTGAGCTAGCCCCACAGCTAAGCGATACTTCACCCACGGTGGTCTTTTTTTTTTTTTTCTTCCCCAGACAACGGCTAAGCTAGCAGGCTAGACAGCGAGCTAAACACAACCAGTGGAGCATGTTTAACATTTTTTTTTTTTTTACAAAACGTTTTATATGCAACGTCTCGTTCCCCTCTCAGTATTTTACAAATTCATGGTCCTGTTATTTTGTTTTCGTAAACGTGCTCAACCCCCAGCCGGGGCAGCACGCTTTACGAACCGGATTCATAGCTGTCCGATAATGGATGCTAGCTAGCATAGATATCTGACTGAAACACGTTGCAGGCTTTTGTGAGCCAGGCATCCCCCTTTAGGCAGTGTTTTTTTTATAATGTTGACTCTTTATTTGTGAGATAGTTTTCGCTTTTTTTGCGTGGGCGTGCTTTGCTGTGAATGTATAACTCAGAGCTACCGCAGTGAATAGCGTGTACTTTTACGACTTCAGCTCCGTGTAACGTGGACGTCAGTGCTGTGAAAACAGTATTTATTACTACTTTTAACTACGTTTTGCATCAAACCTTAACCTAACACTACAGCGCATCTAAGGACAAAATAGACCTACCACAGCCATGTGTGCGCAACCCTCACACCACTGCAACATTACCCAAATATTTCACTTAGCCCGAGCATTTGATTTAATATCTTATTTATTATTTATAATGAAAGTGACGTTTTCTTCCCCAAACAACTTTAAATTATTTCCCTGCTGAGCTCTGAATATTAAGACAACTAGCTGTTGTCCAATATAATTTTATTTATTTTTTTGTCTTTGAGATTGTTAAAAAAAATCCAGATATAAATGTTAATTATGCATGGTGCACGTTCAGTAATTACTACCAGCTCATAACATGTGATACGTGTGTCAACCAAGGATTTTAATGAGATAATGGTCTTTGTTAACATTTAAAAAAATACATTTATTGAAGTGATAGTTAGAGAATATCAATGATGTATTCCCTCATAAAGCAGAGCAGTGCTGCATTGTGTTGTTACCCTTTGCATCATCCGTATTATTCAACATAATCACACTGTAGCCTGGACTCTGTGCTGTGTGTGTTTGAGCCGATTGTCTTCACCGCTTTTGGTCGGTCTGTGGAGTAAACCCTGATTAACATGATTTGCCTGCACATTAAAGAGACACAAACCTAATTTATTAATTTTTTTCTGCACTCTTGAGGCTGTAATCCCCACAGACAGCTCAGTGGGTGACAGACATTTGCTGTGCTTGTTGGAGGTGTGTGTATGTTGGAAGGACGGGTGCGGGGGGGGGGGGTTAGCTGTGCGTGTTCATTTGGGGTTTTCCCAGAGCCCAGAACTGGTTTCCAGTGGGGGGGGGGGGGGGGGGGGGGG